TGTTCTTGTTAAAATTAAAATGATTTAGATGAAATATAATCTAGTTAAATGACCACGATTTGCTTTTCACTATTCACTGAAACCTCAAAGAGATGATCCAAAGAAAGTTGTAGTTAATGTAGTAAAATTCCCATAATCTTTAGGTCCATAAAGTATAGCACTATATCTGTTATGACTTCATTACGAGATCCATCTTGTAAGAAAATTGATTTTCACAACACGGTTTACCACTACTAATATTTTTACACTGTAGTGAATTAAGACCGTAGGTTTGCTAAAACTTTGTATAGCCTTTCACTTAACTATTATCACTTTCATTTGATAAACCATTTTCATTGTATACCTTAGAAACCATTTTGAAGGAACGTGTGCGCTAATACGTGCAAGTTTATGAATTGATAAATTTCACATGAAATTCAACTCTTTTATATGGTTAATTTAGTAATCAAGGCGAATGTTTTCACTCAACTTTGAAAGTTATTGAGTCTTTCGTTAGCACATGTCAATTTCGCAAAGAAATTATTTGTAACAACACAATTGCCACTGGTCGTTTTATTTCCAACAAGTGTTACCGATCAATTTTTATTTACATTGCTGCCTACATGTCTGAAAATGATCATTAGGTCTTTTACTCTTCAGATAGAACAAAACAGAATTGAACAGGCTGATTTTAAAATTTGAAAGACAACGTGTCCCTGTACACATTTGCCGAAGTATCATCTAGAAGCATTCATCTTTGAAAGGTAAAATATTCTTATTCTAAACTATTTAATACTTCAATCTCATGCAAAATCTTTTCCCGAGGAACTCATGATAGATTTTTTTTTAAATAATCGATATTGAATACACTATCGTTTATCAAATACATAATATGCCGGCCATATACCAACGGCCGTCTGGTGTAGTGGTAAGTGACATGGTCACTACACAAGGGGGTCGCGGGTTGGAATCCCGCCAAGGGAGGATATTTGTATGATAAATATAAATGTCTTTTCCAGGGTTATGGATGTATATTAAATATATGTATGTGTATATTAAAAATCTTACATTTATTTCCGTTATCTGGTACCTGTAACACAAGTTCTTTACGAACTTATCACGGGACCATTTAACGTGGCGTGATTGTTAGTAAATATTTATTTATTTATTATTATTATTAATATCTTTAATGTTTTTGTGGAAACAACAATATTATCTACGAAGTTTTCCGAAAGAGATAAACAAAACCAGTATTAAATTTGGCAATGAATTTATTGTCTAAATCTCAACACACATAACAAAACACACGTATTTAACGCAAGTAAAATTACTCCTGGTTGCGTGTATTTCACCATTTCAATGGTATTTGTGATGTTCAGGTAAAAAGTGCTGAGCGTGGCCCTTATGACTTACATGTGCATGAAATCTGAAAAGCAAAATCGCCATTATGTATGTATAATACGCATTGTGTAATAGTTTGATGTATTATTTATATTTTTTATTATACTGCTGTAAATAAATGGACGACAGCTTACGAATATTATTGTTATATGAATGTTCAAAGGTGCTGGAGCTAACTTTGGACGTCCTATCGGATCCGCCTAATCAACTATCGGTGCTTTTAGGCACTCCAACTACCGTTCACTCTTCTTGGGTTCGACTCACAGACAAAAATTAATGGGTTCTTTAGGGTGATCAGATTAAACTTATAACTTATTAACATTAAGCAAAGCCTGCGCATAAGCTGTACTGAAGCATGAATTTTTTTTTTTTTTGCCATTGTAGGCAGACGAGCATACGGCCCACCTGATGGTGACCGTTACCGTCACCCATGGACTTCAGCAATGCCAGGGGCAGAGCCAAGCCGCTGCCTACCGCTTAATACTCTCCACAAGCCACGTTTGAAGAAGGACACATGTCATAGCGCTAGGGAAACACCGTGGAGGGGAGCTCATTCCATAGCCGGATGGTACGTGGTAAAAAAGATCTCTGGAAACGCACTGTGGATGACCGCAGTGGCTCCAGGTAGTATGGATGAACTCTACTCCGGTGGCGAGCGGTGCGATGGTAAAAACGAGATGCCGGTATCATCTCTAACAATTCCTCAGAGCACTCCCCATGGAACATTATCTAAATAACATTAATTAAAAACCAACCCTGAATGCTTATCGGCGCTGTACTCAACAGTCCTAATGGTACCATCGGCCTCGTGCAGACTGTACACGCCCTTCACGACGTCACCGTCACGGGTCTCGTGCTGGTACTTGTTGTCGCCGGTGTGAGGATCCTCTACTTTCTACTCAAAAGTGTATTTAGGATGAGCCTGTAATTATTTATATGCTAATTTATCACGCAAACAGATCTCCAATTGAATTGATTTAATTAATAGAACTCTCTTACATGGTAGTTGACGTGGTGCTCTTCATGTCCATGGTGATGATCTTCCTGATGCCCGTGGTACCTGTTGGAGTCCGTGGTGTATTGGTTGGTGTTCATGATGATGTACTTGAGTGTATCCGTGGTGTTGCACCTTGTGGTGTCCTAGGTCATAGTGGCCGCCGTGTTCAAAATTTTGCGTCGTGAGTATTTGGTGGTGAGCAGGAGTTTGGTCCTAATGTTCGTGTCCATGGCTCGTGTGTAGCACTATACTCTGCGAGGAGACTGCGTGACCATGACCGTGTCCATCTTGGGGTTTAGCACTAGCTAGGGCGAGGATAGCGGTAATTAGAAGAACCTATAATATGAATTTTAAATTAAATTTTAGTAGAATATTAAAATGGATAATTTCCTATAACTTATTAACTTTCCTATACCTTCATCTTTATATCGTTGCCTTAAAGATACGAATGTGGTGTATGAACTGATTTATAATTGATATAAAAGTTTGATTTTATACTTGTTAATTGTTAAATAAACATACAATCATACTGGGTCAGACAATTTTTCGTAAGAATGTACATAATATTATGTGCCGGACCAGTTTATAACATGAATAAAAATTGACATGTCAATGCGAACTTCGATGAGGAACTTGTTTTAATAAAGAAAGTAGGTTCGGTTTTTATAATAACAACTTCATTATAAAATAATCCTTTAAGCAATCTGTTACGTAAAAAAATATATATTAGAAAATAGGAAAAAATTAAATAGTATATAAAGAAAATGGCCCAGCTAAAGTAGTCGTTAAAATGACCCCGCCTTCGGTCGTTGGAGATTAGCATAAATTATTTACATAATATGAATAATAAAAATAATTATAGCTGTTTGTTTGGAACCTACATCTACGTAAGGACCTCGGTTCTCTCTGTGTTTTTTTACACGTACCATCTGGGTTTGGAATGATTTTTTTAAATTGCTTTGACGGGTAGACGATCTCACAGCCCACCCGGTGTTAAGTGGTTACTGGAGCCCATAGACATCTACAATGTAAATGCGCCACCCATCTTGAGATAAAAGTTCTAAGGTCCCAGTATGCCCCACCCATCAAATCGAAACGCATTACTGCTTCACGGCAAAAATAGGCAGGGTGGTGGTACCTGCGGTACCTACTCGTGCGGACTCACAAGAGGTCCTACCACAAGTAATTACGCAAATTATAATTTTGCGCGTTTGATTTTTATTAAACGATGTTATTCCTTTACCGTGGAAGTCAATCGTGAGCATTTGTCAAGTACGTATTTCATTAGAAAAATTGGTACCTGCCTGCGGGATTCGAACATCGTTGCATTGCTAGATACAAATGCACCAGACGTCTTATCCTTTAGGCTACGACGACTTCATGGCAGTGTTTAGTTCTTATACTTACTATTCTATGTGTTGTATGTATCAACTAATCTATTGCCCTGTTAGGCAAGGAGTTCAAGTTCAGGCAGAGGGCGATACTACATGGCCAGCCCCGTGCGCGCGGTTAATCCGATGTAGGCAGGTAGGTTGGTAAGTGGATAATCGGTATGTAAGGCTTATGACACAGTTCTTCAGAGATGCACTTAAGCCTTTGAGGGGTGTAAAATTGACCTCAAAAATATACCTGGAACTGTGGAATTTGTCTCTTGATAATAAATCTATGTTTCCATATTTCATTACCCAACCAATAGTATATTTTATTTTACATCTAATTGTATCTTCTAAATATTCTGATTTTATCAGTTTTCTGATTGATTGATTGATTAATAAATTACTATATCTTGTTACTCTATATATTATTAGATAATAATATAGGAGTGGGGAAATCGTAATTTACCAATTCATAAGTTCATTCAATCAACCGATTCATAAGTACGATTATTAAGCAGTATCTCGTATTTGCGTGTGTTATATAACGATATTACATTTTATTTCTATACTCAGTAAGCATGCATTTAAGTCAATCAATAAACCAGTTTTATGTGTTGTTTGTTTTTACGAAATTTACATAAATAATTTATTATGCACAAAATACAATCAACTTATTTTATTGGGCGCATGATTATATTTAAAATGTTCTGAATAGTAATGAAATATATTTATTAAAAATATTGTTTATTGTATAAAAACATAAAAACAATTATAAAACAAGATCACAGATTGTTTGTCGTTAGAATATGGACACTTTACTGATGGTGCTTTTCAGGGGCAATGTGGTGGGTGCTGTGCTTCACGGTGGCATGGAATCTGTGATAGGAAAACATGATTTAGTGTCATACAAACGATTTTTGTTACTAGGTATATACCGAATTCTTAAAAATTGCAAAGAGCAGCAACAATTTTCTCAGAATAGTAGGGTCAGGTTAAGTACAAAAGGTTTTTGATCTTGAGTTTGAGTAACTTTGAGTAGCCTTTTGTATGTATTTTGTTTGCCTGTTTTTTTTTGACAAGTTTTGCTGTTATAAATGATGCATTTTTTTAAAAAGTCAGTTTTTTCAATAACAATACAAAAAGAAAAAAAAATTGATGAAATGAACATAAATTTTGATGTGACAGCAATTTTGGGCGATTTTGTGATTACTGATATTTTAATCGTTCAAATGCTGAAATAAAGGATCTTACCCTGAGTGCTTGTCGCCGTGATAGTCGACATGTCTAATGGAGCCGTCAGGCTGGTGCAGCGAGTAATATCCCTTGACGACGTCACCGTCGCGGGACTCGTGCTGGCTCTTGTGGTCGCCGGTGTGAGGATCGCTCACTTTGTACTCGAACTCGTATTTAGGGTGGGCCTGAAATATAGAGAATATTTTTAATAACATAGATTTTGATCTTTAAGCAAGGTGGGGTTCGCTCCGAGGCCCTATTCGTGCCCTCCCAAGGGAACACGATGGCAAGTTCTTCATCTTTCCTATGTTATCCATTGAGATAAAAAAATTGGCAATATGATTGATGTTTTAAAAAAATACGCAACTATTATATTCAGATTAGACATTGATTTTTTTAATTATTTAAATTATATTTTATGATCGAAATCGAAATTTCTTAATAGATGGAAGATAGGATTGAAATAAAAAATAAAAAATCTTACATAATAATCGATGTGGTCTTCGTGACCATGACCATCGTGCCCGTGACCCTTGACATGCACAACTTGTGCGGGGCCATCGTGCCGCGAGATGTGTTGCGACGAGAAGGCGTGGCCGTGACTTTGGTCATGACCATACTGCGCAGTTGCAACAGCAACAACACCAAGTAGACATACAATCTATAAAGAGGAATAACAGTTTTAAATAAACATTGAATTTGATTTTATTATTTACTATTTTATTTATTGTTAACATATAAGTAGAAACACAATCATAATTTGATTCTGTGCTTGAACTAGATGATAAAACTTGTATCTGAAGCAGCAGTGTTCTTCGCACAAAGAATACAACAGCTTTAGATTCAGATACACAAAAATAGAAAACTACTAGGCAAAAATTAAACTGAAATTCTGAAACTGAAACTGAAAAAATGGATTGCATAAAAGTGACAATGCGTGAGCTTAAAATATTACAATTAACAAAAATTCTTGAAACAAGTGTATTAATGATCATTCAATGATCTCCTTGTTTTTAAGAGGTCCGAAACTAAAAACAAAACAGGACTGGTGTTTCTTCAGCATAATTCCAAATTTGTAGATAATTTTAAAATTTTCGTGAAAACTCATATTTGGGAAAATTTAAGTCGTCATCACTGATTCACCCACGTATCCTTCAAAATTTACATTTGAATTTCATTGTCACGTTTTAAAATATTTAAAAGTAAAAATACCTTTGAGAACATTTTAAATTATTAGCTTCTCTGTACTAATGAAACCAACTACGGCTGTTAACTGATACACTTTGAAGTGATCCAAACTCTTTTATATTGTTATCTGAAAGAACCAAGGTGATATTGATTTCACTATAAATTTGTTGACACTTTAAATTATTCAAGTACTTCAGTATAAGTAATGCAATTATTTCGTAAAGGCGTTTGTTCAATATGCCTACGTAACTACGTATACTCAGTTGTATGACATTGCAATTATGCAAGTTTAACTGTATAAGCATTACTGACACAAATCTAAATGAGCAAAAAATAAACTATCAAGTGATAAAACAGTTGCAGCATTATTTAATTCATTCAAAATTAGGATAGAACATAATAACTATTCAGTTTAGTAACGATCTCATATTAATTACATTATTTGGTTTCCGAGCATAATTTGACTGTAATAGATAATGATTAGTTTCTATTGAGAGTATCAGGAAACACTCTATCTGTTTGACATTGCACCATCGCTTAGTTATTCGGACGCTCACATTCTTTTTGGACGTAATTTAAGTTAGAGACCACCATGCTGCTTATTTTTGTCGTAAAGCCAAGCATTCTAGTTTAAAGGGTGGAGCAGTTGTTTGTAAAATACAGTTGAGATTTAGACCTCATCTTTCAAGGTGCAGTTAAAAAGCAATATGAAAAACATGAAAGTATGGAAATGTCTCACTTTTTCCTTCTTTTTTCCTACCTATTCTAGTAGCCTCGAGGGGTTACTCTAGATACACCGAACTAGTAGGCGCGCTCACGAGGCTCAAACCTGACGACGTTGTGAACACTAGCCCTAGCAAGACCCGTGTGTCGCATAATCTACCACCGAGTCGGAAACGCGACCCACTGAGAAGATCCGGCGAGAAACTCAGTGGACTGAGTCTGTGGGTTGATTTACTCGCCGAGCTCTTCGTCACAAGCGACGGCTTCGACGAGAACGATGACCGGTGCTTGAGGTACCTAAAAGCACCGCGAGTGGTTCGGGAGGATCCGAAAATGTTTTGGTGACATCGACTGTTTACCATTCGATCCGCAGTATCGGGAATGAATGTTTTGTGACATCTCAACATTGTACAGCTCATTAAAGAAAAGTAAGTAACTATAAGGCTGTATAATAAAATAATACTATTTAGATTGGAAGATGTGCTCTCCTACATTGTTGTATTGATTTATCCTTAATTACGTGCGAATCCTGAACTTTCCCAGTGGCTGATTCGTGCAAAACCAGTTATGTAAAAGTCTGACCTCAGTATTATTTACATCAGTTTCAAAATGTTTGCACGCATGAACTTAACACGGTCACATTTTTTTCGTCAGAAAAGTATAAAACCTGTTGTTGGGTTGATTATTTTGAATGTATAAAATCCGCTGCATCTGGCGTATTCAGCATCAGAGTAGCAGCTGCTTTTGTGTAGAAACAAGCAAAATGTTTGGAAAGGTACAGATAATTTTAATTCATTTTAATAACCTATATACACTAATTTACTTGCGTCGTAGACATAATTCAAATTACGTATATGCTTTCATTTGGAGTTTATTATTCAAATATTCACTAAAATTTCAAGTTAATTCTATATGTAGTACGCGTAGATATCATTCTCTTAGATAGACCAACTTTAGCGCAATATTCAAATGTTGTTGAACAACACCTTAGTCGTCCGTGCCTACGACAGTTGTAAATCATCCAAAAAGCCTGAAGTAATCAAATTAAAATATTAAAAGTAATATGATAGTCGTCGAGGCTATAAGATGTCCGGAGCATTCGTGTTGAGCGATGCGCCGGTGTTTGAATCCCAGGCCAATTTTTCTAATAAAATACGTACTCAATAAATATTTACGATTGACTTCCACGGTGAAGAAATAACATCGTGTAATAAAAATCAAAAGCCGCAAAATTATAATTTGCGTAATTATTGGTGTAGGACTTCTTGTGAGTCTGCACGGGTAGGTACCCCCAGCCTGCCTATTTCTGCCGTGAAGCAGTAATGTGTTTCGGTTTGAAAGGTGGGGCAGCCGTTGTGACTATACTATATCTTAGACTATATCTTAGAACTCATATCTCAAGGTGGCTGGCGGCATTTATGTTGTAAATGTCTATGGGCTCCGGTAATCACTTAACACCAGGTGGGCTGTGAGCTCGTCCGCCTGCTAAGCAACAAAAAACAAAGATAGTTTAAGACGAAAAACTTTGAATCCTTAGAAAACCCATTTAAGGAGTTTTACATTATTTTTTTCACGACAGGCTTTAGGAATCGTCATCTTTCTGACAGTAGGCTACTGTCAAGAACACAATCACCACGGCTACACTCTACAGACCTTGGTAAAACACGACGTCCCGCAAAAGATCAAAACCCACCACGCGATCCCCGTCAAAACCGCCCATGTTGCGCCTGTCTATGAAACAAATGAAGCCCACGCCGCATCCGCTCACGAGAACCACTCAGGGCATTCCCACGGGCACGCTGTGTCTTCCCAAAGTATCGTCCGTCACGATACCCATCATGAGCAAACTCACCATGAGCAACCACACGAACAGCCTCACTACTTTGTACCGGTACACCATCACGCACCTATAGTCCATGAAGCTGTGATCGCTGCTCCAATACACCACGCCCCAGTTCATCACGTACCGGTACACCATATTCAACAAATCGCCCACCATGATGAATCTCACCACGACGAATCTCACCATGAAGATCATTACGTGAGTAACATGCATGATCTATTCACACAATATGTAATTGGCCCATAGAAGCAGCTACCTATTAAACAGGACTTTCCTTCATAAAGTTTTATGATAGCGCAGCTTAAAAAAGCTTTCTTTGGCAATAAATGTCCATAAGCCTACGGTCCTCCTGATCTTAGGTAGATTACCATCAAGTAGCACAGTCAATTAGCAACTTATATGCTGTTAACTATTCTCTTCAAGCTTCTTATGAAGAAAAATATCTCTTTCGGTCATTCCTTAAGCAGCAATTCACAAGCTCCTAACGAATTTTTTTAGTAATCAGTCAACAATAGACAGTCAAGTTCTTATTATTATTATTCTATATATTTTTGTTTTAAATCTACCTTATAAAATACTTAAAAACAGGGTCAAATATTACAGTCTAATTGTCCATTAAGGAATTTACATAAGAATCACTATTGCTAGTAGTGTAATTTTAAAATTTAACTACCTATCAACAGGCATACCCCAAATATGCTTTCGAATACAAAATTGAAGATCCCCACACCGGTGACAATAAGTACCAGCACGAGATCCGCGATGGTGATATAGTGAAAGGAGAGTACAGTCTTCATGAGGCTGACGGCTCCATTCGTACCGTTAAATACACAGCCGACAAAAAATCAGGGTACGTAAACAGGAAAATTTCCCTTTTTGTACTATTAAGTAGTGATAACTAAATTTATTGGAACAATCAGCTAAATATGTTTCATAAACACAATATGATCGCTATCACGATTATTATGTTGTTAATTTGATTTAAATATTTCGCTGATGTGTCTTCATAATCTATAATTATAATATATCTAATACTAAAATAGAAGTTATACTAAACTCAACGCACAGTTATCATTTAAATTTGTAAAGAAAGTAATGTTTATAAACTATTGTTAAAAAACTAAAAAAAATGCTTTTGTAGCAAACATAACTAAATAATAAGGTAATTAAAAGACCTAGAAGTCGTTGTGGCTGGCCTAAAGGATAAGACGCCTGGTTTACGCCTATCAATCTATACGACTGTACCGGTGTCCGAATCCCGTAGGCAGATACCAATTTTTCTAATAACTACGCGAAATACTTTCACGATGAGGAAATAATATCGTTTGATAAAATTAAAACCCGCAAAATAGACATAGACCACAAATTTCAAGGCGGGTGGCGGCATTTACATCGTGTCTTTCTGGTTAGGATATCAGCAGAAAAATATTGTGTTTACATTGGTCCATTTGACAGAAGTATCTATTAAATTAAAGTCAAACTTATTTATATTTCATACTACTGCTAAAGTTCATTAGAAAATATTTACACCATCATCCAAAGTTGTTCCAGTTTCTAAGCTTGTTCATCGGAGATAGCTTTCCAATTTTTTAAATCTTATTTACATTTTTAGATTCAACGCTGAAGTTATCAACTCCGGACTCTCAAAGCACGAGGAGCCAATTCACCAGCACAGTCACCACCATTAAACTATAGCTAGTCAAACATTGTTTCTGTATTGTTTGTGTTAATAAATCTCGTCATAAAATACAAAAAAAAACGATTTATATCACTTAAAGCCTTCAAAATGTGTTGAAAACAAAAGAAGAATAATCTGTAGAAGAAAATGTGTACTAAATTTTAAATAGACTTTGTGGTAAAAAAAAATTTTACAAGATGTTATTCGTTCACCGTGGAAGTCAATCGTGAACATTTATTAAGTACGTATTTCATTAGGAAAATTGGTACTTGCCTGCAGGAGTCGAACACCGTTGCATTGCTAGATACGAATACATCAGATGTCTTATCATTTCGGCCACGAAGGTGCAGTCGACTATAATCTGTATGTCTCGCTGGGCAGAGGTATTTTTTCCTGGATTGTGGAGTTTAGTTTATAGATACAACAGGGTGGTTTGTGTTTTTCCTGTAACTACATGTGCAAAGTTTCTACATAATGAAATAAAAACGCGCCATCACATATTTCATGAGGAAACAAGCACAAACATAACATTTTATATAAATTAGATTTATGTCACGATCGATATTTTTTTTACATTAAATTAGCACATGCTCTAGTTTGTAAGAATGACATGAACACATGACTACAATTTCATCGGCAGCCTTACTTAGTCACTTCCCTATTAACATTTTCACCAATAATACTATGCTTCTTATACCTTCCCGTTATATGGATTTAACATAATGAGATAATAATCAAGTCAAATGCATATATAAATTCTAAAGTGCATGAGCCTAAACCGAAAATTTAAAGAGTTATTTTGTATTTTCGAATTAATTTTAAATGAATTCTTTGAAAATAATTGAAAAGTTATTGTAAATTGTGCAATTCAAAATGCGAATAACGATCAAGTCTATAATAGTAGTTGTTAGTGAAAATTCCTAACGCGAGAAATCACGAAAAAATATTTAAATTTAGTTCATGGTTTGAAGAACGCCGAGTTAATTCACCTCATTTTTCGGCAAAAACCTGTGGCATTGACATTGTTACAGTCGTTTTACTCTGTCATGATACTGTTGATTCACTTGTTAAATAACAATCGCTACGCTAAGTTTAAAATTGAGCAAATAGCTGATTTCTTTCAATAGCTTTCAAAAGTTAATTTAATTAAATATTATGCTAAATTTATCTTTGAAAGGAATAATGTAGTATTTGACACATTTTTGGTTAGTAACATAAACAGAAAGAAACGTTTAACTTTTTTTGTAACAAAAATCATCCAGTCATTTAAGTCAATCATTAATAAGTCATTAAAGGCTTGTCACTCAGTCGTGGAGCCATCGACGCATGAAGGCCCACGTTTCTAATTCATCATCACACAATTTAGTACACTATTATTGATGGACGATGTGTAAGATATCAATAGGATTAGCATTTCATATTATGCGGTACTCGCCTCTCCCAATATGAAGGAACAGCATTCCATATTTTCTTTTACTGTCATAACCAAAAATGAAGATCTTTGAAGTCGTTGTGGCCTAAAGGCCGTTGTGACGTCCAGTGCATTCGTATCTAGCGATGCACCGGTGTTCGAATCCCGCAGGCGGGTACCAAGTTTTCTAATGAAATACGTACTCAACAAATGTTCACGATTGACTTCCACGGTGAAGGAATAACATCGAGTAATAAAAATCAAACCCGCAAAATTATAATTTGTGTAATCACTGGTGGTAGGACCTCTTGGAAGTCCGCACGGGTAGGTACTACCACCGCGCCTATTTCTGCCGTGAAGCAGTAATGAGTTTCGGTTCGAAGGCTGGGTTAGCCGTTGTAACTATACTGAGACCTTAGAACCTATATCTCGAGGTGAGTGGCGCATTTACGTTGTAGATGTCTATGGGCTCCAGTAACCACTTAACACCAGGTGGGCTGTGAGCTCGTCCACCCATCTAAGCAATAAAAAAAAAACGTATGTAATTATTAATGGAGGAATGAACCCATCTGGTTAAGTACTATTATCCTATTTATATCTGCCGTGAAGCAATCATTCATTTCCATTTGAAGGATAGGAGAATATTTTTTTCAATAGATGGATTCAAATGGAAAAAAATCCATAAGCGGTACATAAGTTATTTTAACAAATATCGCGTATATTGTAGGCACAATCACAACAAAGAGTGGTAGTTTATTGATCAAGAACAACTGCTTTGCGAATGAATCTACTACGTGCGGCTCGTTGAGAAGATCCGGCGAGAAACTCAACGAGCTGATGCATGGGTTAGGTTGCACTTCAAACTTTTTGCCGAGTTCAATGAGTAGGGTTACCGGGGTCCGTAAGCCTGCTCCTAGCGTTAGACCTGAAGGCGTCTAATGCAAGGGTTATTGGATCTGATGGATCTGTAAGGCCGTGTCTACGGCGTCGACGGGGACTGGCTCCTGCGTGATCAGAATTCGGGGAGTAAGCAGCGGCGGCAACGGTAAGGCGATTATCATGACGCATAGCCTTATCGAAGTAACGTTCCCACGCTGACTTCATGCGTTTTCGGGTTGATTCGAGGCCCAGGTCGTCCTGTAGGTCAACGTTCCTCACGACCCACTGAGCACCGACGGGTAGCCTGCAAAGTAGGGATTGAAGGGTGTCTAAGTGTATGAGAGCGGCGTCAGCGAAAGCCACAATCGGGTAAGTCGTGACGGGCCTTATGCCAGTTTTGTAAAGTGTCACCTTGTTCCGAAGGGATATTTTACTCCGCTTAAATATCATGGGGTAGAGTCTGCCGAGAATAAACGCGGGGCACGGTCGCAGACTGATTTTATATGTGAGCGGAATGTAATGGATGCATCCAGGGTGACACCCGGGTATATAACTTTCCTGGCCCAGGTTATGAGTTGGCCGAAAAGGGTGATCGGGAGTGTGGGCCAATTAGTATAATGGTAAACGCCGATTATTGGCATAAAAAAATATTCATCTAACATAGGGGTAAATACCATTAAAATGTGTTGCGTTAAAGAGAAAAACATGTTACTAAATAATGAATCCAAAAGGTGAGATAAACGTCAAACAATTTTAAATGAATCCTACTTAATTGCTACAGAATCGCGATCTGTGTTTTTTGGTAAATGAGAAGACGAAATTTTAAGGCCCACTTGTTGCTAAGTGAAACCGATAGACATCTAGCATGGTTGCCACCATAAACCTATAAACATGACATTGAAGTCTCAATTCTATTGCATAGTGTAACGACTGTTCCACCTAGACCAAAGCGCAAGGCTGAACCGGAATAGAAAAGTATAGAACTGGGGTACTTACTCGTGCGACTACCTATCCACCCTACCACCAGTAAGCACGCAAAATTCTACATTTCATGACAGTGGTCTTTAAAAAGATAATACTTAGCAAATAATCCATAGCTATTTTGAATACGGCTCCAGACTAGCTATTAGAAGAGTTTTGATGATATGCCCTTATGTGCCTTATAATAAAAGTTTCTGTGGTAAAATTGGTGTACAGCGTTTGCTTGCCTATTTAATTTTTTTTGTGATAATTATTAATTACACGATGTCCCATAGACACAGACACAACCCACTAAGTTTCTCACCGGAACTTCTCCATGGGTTACGATTCCGATTCAGTGGATTCAGCGAAAATAGCCCCTTGAGGCTATCGGCAGATAAATGGGCAAAAACATGATCTTAGATTATTTCCTAGTTTCTCCATGTATTTAATTCCTCAACGAAAAAAAAAAAAGTTTTCTTGTATATATGTACAGACTAATCTTTCAAATGTTTGATAAAATAAATTAATTCAGATATGGCTTTAGGTTAGGAATATCAATTAATTATAGTGATAGACCATCAGATAAAATGAGGAACAGTATAGGCAGAATACAATGGTAATTGCAACAATTTTTCACTTGAACTAAACTATATGATGAGGATGCATCAAGTGTGGTGCTAACCTAAGTTAGTGCTTTCACTCAATTAACATATTACTCAAACCATTTATTAAATTGTTGCCTTAAGTTACGTATTACTAAAGCATTTTTTTCTATAAAATTAAAATTCTAAATTAATAGTCTTTGCAAACTATTTTAAATTTAATTTATTTTATAAAAATAGATTAAACGGTGACTGTAACTTTCTAACTCTTCATCTCCAAACATAAAATATGCAAAGATGCTAAAAAATTAACAATTGTTTTGCAATTTTCGTCATAATTTAAAAGTGAAATCGGTTTAGATTTAAAAGTGTATGTCGAGGAAACAATCAAACCGACTTAGAATACAAATTACAGTGGATTTCTCTCTACAGATTTATGCCATTTTTGGATATCTAATTTAGAGTCTAGGCTGGTTTTATAGATCTAACTACATTATTAATCAGAGCATCCGCAAAAAAGAGCTCTGCACCAGTTAATGGACTGACAACCTTCACATTGGTTATATAAATTACGTCATGAAGCCGGCGCGCGTGTTGGGTTACAAACATAACGCCCCAAGCGGTAGCAAATCTATTCAATACTCTCTCGTAACGTCTCCAGTATATATTGAGCTAATGACTATGTTAATTCATCAGTTCCACCGCGGAAGTCGAGGAAGAAAGAACAACATGCTAGCTAAAGTTAGTCTCTGGAAATATAAATCGTACTTTTGATTCAGTTAGAACTTCCCTAACAATTTTTTTTTGGTTGCAGATCTTAGTGATCGCCCTCGCCGTGGCAGTGGTTTCCTGTCAAGAGAAGCCGTATAATCTGAAGAAGCTTTTTCAACAAGAACAAGCCAAGGAATACAAGCATCGCCCTTACGATCACATTCATCCATCGTTTCCTTTAAAGTCCTTCCAAGAACCTGCACCCATCAGTGAAGAGCAGTACCAAGAAGCTCAAGCTAGTCCCGCTGAACAAGCTTACGAAAAGCCGCAAGAGAGCTACCCTCCTGCCTACTCTTCTCAGAGCATCATCCATCATGCTGCAAGCGGTCAGCAAGATTCCCAAGAGAACAGCGGTGAACGTGGGATTTATCAATACGTGCAGGAGCAAAACGAAGATGTGAAAGTACGCCAACCAACCACTCACAAATACCAAGGAGTACACTACCCGGTGCATTATCCTGCTCCCGTACAACACGAGGCTCCTGCGGCAAAACCAGTATACAAGCCCCAAGCTCATTACACTCGGCCGCAGGAAGGCTTTAGCTTCCACCGTGGAGTTCATCTTGAACAAGCCCCTGTCTATCAGCAGACCGAAGGACATGCTCACGAATCTCACGATGAACCCATTGACTATTACGTAAGTATTCTATAATAGAATTTAAACGACTTAATTTCCGAATTCCAATTTCATGGCAACTTTCCACTCATTTAATCGTAGCACGAACTCATCCGTTTCAAACGATACGATAAATTCTATTGTCGGCGCATATAAATAAGGCGTTTTATGTAAATTTACTTTTACTGTTTAGGCCTACCCTAAATATCAATATGAGTACAAAGTTGAGGACCCTCACACCGGAGACAACAAGTTCCAACACGAGATCCGTGATGGCGACGTCGTGAAAGGCGTGTACGGTCTTCACGAGGCTGATGGCTCAGTTAGGACTGTTGAATACAGTTCAGACAAGCACAAAGGGTGAGTTCTTGAATTTTGATACCAAATTGTAACAATTGTCATTCCAATTGTTCTTTATATGATTAGTTGAATTTAAAATCCAACTGATTAATTGGCTACTGGTGCTAATAAGCATTACAGTGTGAATGTCTAGCTCACTCTTTACCGTTCATCGGAATGCAAGAGGAATTGGAACGTAAGAAATAAGCTGTGTGGTTTGGTATCCGTGCGTGTCCATGTACGTAACAAAACACATTTTTAAATTAACTAAGCCAACCAGATCTAATTTCATGAAAATTATCATGAATTTTTCTTTAAATTTTATTTCATTTGCAGATTCAGCGCCATTGTCAAGCATTCAGCTCCTGGTCAACACGTTCACATTGAGAGTCATCATGACAACTAAATTATTAGTCGAAGACTGATATTGTTTATTCTTGTACTAAAATTACTTAAAATTTGTTGCCGTTTTGTTGTTACTACATGTGTATATCAAGTTAGAAACATAATAAAGCTTATTTATTAATAATTCGTTCTGGTTTTTAATAAAAATCCCAAATTGTTCTAAGTTATAAATACAAAAAAATTTGCATGAGACCAATTTTTATAAATATAGATTTTACTAAATCGTTTTAAACACATATTAAAAGTATTGCTGCTTTTAAAAATTGACTAGCTTGATTAGAAATGATTAGATTGATTACAATCAGTTGGACCGTATGCTTCCGATAAGACATTCTGAATAAGATCGTTAGTATTTAGATCCACGTAAAGTATTGCTTAGGGCGGTTAGGCTTGTTTTTTTTTTTCCTACCAAAGATGATAGCCTAGGGGTTATGCCAGAGTTACCGGGCAAGTAGGTGAGCTCACGGGGCTCTAACCTGAGGAAGTTGCTAAACCTAACCCTAGCAACAGCAGTGCTTTGCAAGATCTACCACCGGATCGGAATCACGACCCACTGAGAAGATTCGGCCAGTAAGTCAGTCTATGGGTTAGTTAGAACACCGAACTTTTCGTTGTTATCGACCAGCTGTACGAGGAGGGTGAACGGTGCTTGAAGAGCCTAAAAGTAGCGAGAATGATCGACTGACGAGAAAATCTGGGGGATCCAACAAGTCATGCTTCGGGTGACGGCGGCTTTGTGTTGCTCCGTCGCCTGGGTCAGATATGTAATTAGGTTAGGTTAGGTAAAAGGATATCCGTTGGAGCACGTGAGTTGGTACGTGAGAAAGGATATCCGTTGGCACAGGCCCCAACGGATATCCTTTTACCTAACCTTACTACCTTCTTCGTCACTACCTTAATATACTTACTATCAGTTATAAATTTAGATCATCGTGAAGATCGACATTTCTCACGTACCAACTCACGTGCTCCAACGGATATCCTTCAAAAACAGGGTTGGATGACCTGGAGAGAGTTCATGTGTATGCGAGTCGCGGAGCGAACACTACACTTACATAGATCATAACGGGACGTAAGCAAGTTTTGTAGAGTGTGGCGCTTGGACTTGGCCTTCGAAGCCTACGATACGGGTTCGCCAAAGATTTTGATGGCGGAAATGGAGTTAACGCACCTAATTCGAGGCAAGATACTAGTAGTAGTTTCGGGAGGGCGACCCCTTTTGAAGAGCACGCCTGTGATATTCCTGAGGTTGATGTTGTAAATTAAACTATTGTGCCACACTTTGTCGAACGCCTTCCCAATATCGAGGAAGAGGGCTACCGTGGAGACGGGCTTAGTTCTACTAAGATCGGTTGCGTGAGACGTCAGTCTACACTTTAAATTTGGGATTTAATAAAATATTTATCTCATATATATATCTATACCTACCTCATCATCTGGTATAAAAATTAATGTACAGAATCAGTGCATTTAAATATCGTCGTCTATTGAAGAAAACTTTAAACAACATTTAAAAGTTTAATTATCTAACCTCATATCAGACCAGCTTTCGTTACGTTCGCTTCATATTCTGTTACGATTTTACATCTTAATTCAACCGATCATTAGGAAGTTATCAATATACGTGTATTGTCACGGATACAGAACATAATATAGGGTATGTAAAACTCATAAAAAAAAGATGTGTGGTGTCGTGGGACATCGGATAAGAACGAAGTTCCTTATTATAAAAATATTAATATAATTTTAAGTTCTATTCGAGGTATAAAGAAAATAATTATTCGGGTATACATTTATTATTATGATTTTTTTATTGATGAAAATAAAAATAATCGCAGGGTCAACCACTCCGCAATGCAATGGAGCAGCCTCGCCCTGGGGGAACCGCCTGTATGATCACGGTATCCCTATACCAGGTAAGTATGATTTAGCAAGAGAAGTAGGAGAACGTCTATCAACTCGTCACCGCGATTCAGGAATTGTTGAATTTACGTGCAGCGACATCTGTGATAACAAACTAAATAAAAAAAAATCTTATGTTACGGACGTTTTTTCCAGGTTACGGTACCCCTCCGCATCGTCCCATAAGGAAATTCGTTCCAGAATTATTCCAAAGAGATAGTTTTTCAACCCATTAACGCGCGGGTGAAGCCACGGATAAAAGTTAATATTAGGCTCTTCATATTCAATAATTATCTTTTCCTGCTAAAGCTAATTTTATTTTGAGCAGCACCATTTAATCATTATATAATAGATTTGTCGTGAAACAAAATAAACGGTAATTGACAGCTCAACAAATCATTTAAACGCATGCGGGAAGTGATAGTGAAGTTTTGAAATACTGTTACCAGTCTCAATTCAATCATTTTTTGACATTCTCGCCCTAGTTCTTACAAGTAATTGTTATTAAAAGAGACCATTAATAATTAAGTGTTGCAAACTATTATAATTTAAAATATAAATGCAATATAATTTTCATTATTATCATCAAGCGTTGGAGCTGGTTATGTGTTAATAATTACTAAAGACAGATCTGTTTTGCAAACAGATTGAATTTATAAAATCGACACAAACAATGCGATTGGTTAGATGATTCGGTCAAGTAAAATAAACACAAATATTCGATTAATTAGACTAGACAGTTTATTAACTATGATAATAACATAACAAAAACATTAGAGTGTGTGTTTTTGAGAGATATTTTTATTTTATTGCGTAGATGAGTGAACGAGCTCATGGTCCACCTAATTTTAAGTGGTTACCGGATCGTATAAACTTAACAACGCCAACGCCAATGCAATGAGGTCGAATTACCAATTGTATTTTATAACAGCTGCGGGTATTCCATCCGTCAAACCGGAATGCACGATTGTTTTGCGGCATCCCTTGGGCCCGTAATACCAATCGCAGTTGAAGCTAAAATCGAAATTTCAAGCGGTCATTGACGATTAACTCGAAATTTCAATCATAGTTAAACTTCCCTTTGGAATTTGAACTATCTCAAAGGTTAAGCGGTCATGAGGGAGCGATTAAACTTAAGATTGGGGAATCGTTCTTTTCAAAATGGCCACTCGAAATAAACAGCTGTTTTTTTGTGTCCAATTTAGTAAATAGACAAATCTGTAAACTCATGTCCAAAATTGCATTGTGCTTGGCTTAAGTAAATAAAAACAAACTATTGAATTCTTTGGCTAGCTTGAACCATATTTGCTTCTTCACCGGATTATTTTCAATATCAGTTTGTTATTTATTATGGATTAAATTGTCATATAGGCTCCCTGAGCTTGCTAGCAATATCGTTTCTAAATAAAAAAAAAATATTATCTTTTTTTTCATAAACGATTCACCATTTAAATAAAAGAATGGATGGAGCGAAAAAGCTTAGCTGAGCTAACAGCTGTGTTTTGTTTTCGTATTGATACTACGATCGAACTTTAATTTTGAATGAAATTGGAACTAACTTTTGTTAATCGTTGTTTTAAGCCACAACAGATATTACGGGCCTTAATCGTCTTTACGACACTAATCGTGAAGGTTAGGGTGGTTGCTATTCTAGGCCACAGCTAAGATAAAAGCGTTTTTAATGATGGTAGTACTGTTGAACAGGTTCAGCGTGCTTTGTCGGAGCAGTGTGCTTGACGACTGCGTTGAAACTGATTTTTTTTTTTTTTTTTTTTTNCTGGGGAATCCATTTACGGATACCCGGTCCGGGGGGTAACGAACCGGGTTATGTCGGACTCCGGCGCCTCCTGAGAGGAAGAGGGGGACGAGAAGGTCCTCCACCTCCCCGAATCCCTCGCAAGAGACTACGCCTTGAAAAAGGCGCGCGAAGCACTTGCCCCGCAGAACGACTACCGACTAAACCCCATCGAGCTCCACCACACCGGCTACACCAGACCTACGGTACCGCAGTGCGCGCCGAAATAAATCCGATCTGTAGGAAATGTTGTTGAGACACCGAACTTTATATATCAATGATGAATGGTAACAATTATATTGTCTTATTATCTATGCATTTTCTGCCTATCGATTTTGATACATATAGATCGAGTTTATTTTGTTTAATAAGTAGTTTTCTGTTTTTCTTCTCATTATTAATAAATTAATATTAAAAAACATTTGGTAACGTACATAGTTGTGGTAGACGGGAAATTTAAAAAATCCGCTAATTTTATTGGATTTTAATCTTTAGGCATTTTAAATTTTATTATTCGGATTTTTTTTTAGTTCTCTTCTTTATAATTGACCAACGTTTACAGTTTTTACGCATTTTGTCTTTTTTTTTTAAATCACAGACTAATTTAAAATTTAAGCAGACTTACAAAACCAAAATGAACGTGCTCCGCCTACAAAATTGAATAGCAATGACATTACTAACTATTCAATAGAGTTTTTATAAGGACTAGTGGTCCCGCAGTAGTCGAAATTCGACTATAATTCTTCGACTATATTTCTTTATTATAATTTAATCTAATCTCAATTTGAGCACAGACGTCAAGAACAAAAGTTTGACAATAAATAGTATGCATGCGTGAGTGCGTCAAATACATGGTATGTAGTGTGTGTAATGTTTTCTTTATTGATTTAATGTATCTTTTATGTATTATTTAAAAAAAATATTAGCATTGTGCACTTCTTCTCTATATTCTCTATAAGTGTGGAAAATTTCATACTCCTCCGTCCGCGCAATTTTCGTAAAAAGGGATACAAAGTTTTTGCTTCACGTATTAATATATAGATTCTTATATTTCTGTAAAATTATACTAGATATTGTGTATTAAAATTTTCATTATCTTGTCCTTAAAAAAGTATCATGCGGAGCTGTGTCTAGAGACTTTGGTCGTATTCGATGTTTCAGTTTTGTTTTGTTAGTATAATAGAGTTACCCATTGTGTTTGTCGGCGGAGTATTCCACAACACGGATAGATCCATCAGCTTCATGCAGAGAGTAGTAGCCCTTCACGACATCACCGTCGCGAGTCTCGTGTTGGCTCTTCAGGTCCCCAGTGTGAGGGTCTTCGATTTTGTATTCAAATGCATATTTGGGATGAGCCTTGAAAAGCAGAGCAATAAGTAAATTAAGTTCTTATTTTTATTGCTTAGGTGGGTGGACGAGCTCACGGCTCACCAAATGTTAAGTGGTTACTGAAGCCCACAGACATCTACAATGCAAATGCCGCCACCTACCTTGAGATCTCAGTTCTAAGCTCTCAGTTTTTAAAACGAAACGCATTACTGCTTCACGGCATAAATAGGCAGGGTGATGGTACGTACCCGTGCGGTCTCAGTAATTACGCAAATTATAATTTTGCGTGATTGATTTTATTACACGATGTTTCATATTTTATTAAGTACGTACTTCATTAGCAAAATTGATACTTACCTGCGGGATTCGAACATTGGTGCATCGCAAGATACGAATGCACCGGACGTCATATCTCTTAGGCCACTACGAGACCTTTTAAAAGGGGGGGTGACGTCACAATGTGCTCGACTAGCAAAACGTACTTACATCATAATCTTCATGGTGAGGCTGGCCTCCATGATGTACTGGTGCGTGTTCATGGTGATGCACGAGCACGGGTGCAGCGTGTATAGTCGGAGCTACATGATGCGCTGCTACTGGTACAACATGGTAAGATTGACCTTCATTCCCATGACCATGAGACACATCGTGTCTGATAATAGACTGGGATGAAACAGCGTGATGGTGTTTATGGCCATGATTGTAGCCGTGATGCTCTTGGGTACTCACGACTGTCAGTACAAGTGTTAGCGAGAGAGTTAGGACGACGATCTGTTGAAAAAAAAAGATAAAACTTGCGTCTAATTAGCTATGAAACATATTTTACTGGTGGTAGGACCTCTTGTGAGTCCGCGCGCGCGCGAGTACCACCGCCCTGTCTATTTTTGCCGAGAAGCAGTAATGCGTTTCGGTTTGAAGGGTGGGGCAGCCGTTGTAACTATACTGAGACCTTATATCTCAAGATGGGTGGCGCATTTACGTTGTAGATGTCGATGGGCTCCACTTACCACCCACCTGGGGCTGTGAGCTCGTCCACCCAGAAAAGCATTAAAAAATAATTGCATCTGTATTTGAACTGAGTGATAAAATCTGTATCTCAAGCAACAGTGCTCCTCCTACAAAGAATACAACAGCTTTACTTCAGATACACAAAAATACAAAATTACTTGACAAAAATTGAACTGAAATTTATGAATTGCATAAAAGTGACAATATGTGAGCTTAAAATATTACAATTAACAAAAATTTTTGAAATGAGTGTATTAATGTACCCTCTGTGTGTAATGAGTCTGAGTATGAGTGTGTTATAAGTTATTTAATGAAATTTCAGTGTCCTTGTTATGTTGAATGTTTAATGTTATTTTTTTTGTGATTAAAAGATTACTGGTGGCCCGGAGGCCTTTCCAGTTTCACCAGGACAGGTGGGCGAGCAAAGGCTCAGCCAGGAGGGGTGGGATTTGCTAACAGCTACCCGAGCGCCTCCGAAGGAGACCTAACAGCTCAAGAGTAGCTGCTTCGCGAATGAATCTACTACCGGATCGGAATCGCGATCCGCTGAGAAGATCCGGCGAGAAACTCAGCGAGCTGATCATGGGTTAGGTCGCACGGCGAACTCTTTGTCGAGTTCGACGAGTACGGTTACCGAGGTCCCTAAGCCTGATCCTAGTGTTAGAGCTGAATGCGTCTAATGCAAAGGTTATTGGATCTAATGTATTAGTGAAATAACAGACTGTTTAATATTTTGATTTTAGCACAAGATGTGTTCAGTAGTTCAGTCATTCTGTCTGCCCTATATAATCAGAATCTCAAATCGGATGACTGTAGATGATAACTAAAAGAACCAATCAAAGTTACACTTATCATTGAAAGAGATAATACAGCACATAAGATAGTACCTACGACACCCAAAAAAATAAATACGCTTATGAATATTTTTATACATTTTTGCTAACTTACTTTAGGGAACATTTTATTTGTATAAGTTCTTCTGCACGTTGCATTCGAATGATAATAATCCAAACTGTCGCATTCTTTTATACTATTTACATAAAATGAAAATTCTCTCATCGGTAGGTCAATGTTGTGTTACGCATTAAATTGAGCCACATGATTATTCCCTCGAGTTTCAGGTTAAGCTTGAACAGGTTTTTTCATTAATTACACAATGTGCAGCGTGCACAAGCTTCTTTTGACCAACACTGTTACTTTAAATATTCTTTAAGTTAAATTACACCAGAATGTGAATTTTTTTATGTGGTTATTCAATTAACAAAAAAAAAAAAAAAAACAAACAATGTAATAAATAATAATATACAAATGAGACAGACTTCGTAGTGCCTCAGTCGATAAATAAAAGACCTAAACTTTTGTATAAAATAAACATAAAACAAACAAAAGGAATTTTCATATTTGTCTACCTTTTAAACCTTCTCTGGACTTCTCCAAATAATTCAAGACCAAAATTAGCCAAATCGGTCTGGCTTTTCTCGAGTTTTAGCGAGACTAACGAACAGCAATTCATTTTTAAGTATAGATTATAAAGCTGAAGAGTTTATTTGTTTGTTTGAACGCCCTCAGGAACTACTGGTCCGATTTGAAAAATTATTTCAGTGCTAGATAGCCCATTTATTGAGAAAGGCTATAAGGTTATATAATATCATGGTAAGACCAATACAAGTTGAGCACCAATAAAGAATGTTTCAAAATAGGGGTTCAAATAGCTCCTTAACATTCTATAATTCAAAAATATTTTCACTTTCTACGTAAATGAAGTGAATGGAAAAATTTAGCGTAATGCCAAAGTAACTATTCCACGCGGACGGAGACGCGGGCAAAATCTAGTATATTATCCATTTGAAAATATACACTACGTAATGGCACACCGCTTGCATTATCTGGTTTTTGTTTGTTTCTAAAAAAATTAAAAATATCAAATCGACATTGATGTTCATTTTTAAGAAAACATACAAATTTTTTTTTATATGAGAATATTATATTTCCTTTCAAACACCTTCCACAAGCCCCGCTGACATTATATATACTCGACAAGTCATAATTTTACTGATAACAACCTTAAAATCTACGTACAAAATATAATACAATAGTTATCAAACGCTTTATATAAACAAAAGTTTCGGTTAAGCTTTTAATGAATGAAAATCGAATGGTCAGTCCTTTCCAGCGCGTCATGCCTTCCATCGCTTAAGCTAAGTTGCAAATAAATAGTCATCGTAGTATGTTGTAGTCTTGGTCTAGCCGAGGTAGTGTCCGTGAGCTGGGGCAGCCACCACGTGGGCTGCAGGATGGCTGGCGTGCCCGTGTCTGCTTACAACCGCATTGAAGCTAGGGATAGGATTTATTTATGTTATTTAATTATTGTGAACATAGGAGTAGAAACACAATCGTAATACTCGTGGTAGGACCTCTTGTGCGTTTGCGCGGGTAGGTACTACCACCCCGCCTATTTCTGCCGTGAAGCAGTAATGCGTTTCGGTTTGAAGGGTGGGGCAGCCGTTGTAACTATACGAGACCTAAGAACTTATATCTCAAGGTGGGCGGCGTATTTACGTTATAGATGTCTATGGGCTCCAGTAATCACTTACCATCAAGTGAGCTCGTCCACCCAGGAAATAATTAAAGAAAAAAAACTGCATCTTTTTTTTTTATTGCCCTTGTAGGCAAACGAGCATACGGCCCACCTGATGGTGAGTGGTTACCGTCGCCCATGGACTTCAGCAATGCCAGGGGCAGAGCCAAGCCGCTGCCTACCAATCTGTACTTGAACTAGGTGATAAAATCTGTATCTCAAGCAACAGTGCTCCTCGTACAAAGAATACAACAGCTTTACTTCAGATACAAAAAAATACAAAACTACTTGACAAAAATTAAACTGAAATTTATGAATTGCATAAAAGTGACAATATGTGAGCTTAAAATATTACAATTAACAAAAATTATTGAAATGAGTGTATTAATGTACCCTCTGTGTGTAATGAGTCTGAGTATGAGTGTGTTATAAGTTATTTAATGAAATTTCAGTGTCCTTGTTATGTTGAATGTTAAGCCACCAATTAAATATAGGAGTGTCCATTTCTTGCTTTTTAGGGGATATATATTAAGGTGTTTAAGGATAGGTTATTCAAATTATAATAAATGCATTAATATAATTTCGGCAACGCGTGAACTATTACAGACTATCTAAAATTGCATTACAGGTTTATTTTGTTTGGTGAAAAACAATCAGGTTAATGAAGAAAAAATAGCTGCTGTTACATGTAGCCATTTCCAGTAAGATTCATTGAATTATTATGTTTAATTCGGTCACGCGTGCCGCGCTTATTCGGTTCGAGTATGATCGATCGAAAGCGATTTTTACTCTGAAACTCATTAATGTGAACTGTCATGTTTTTTCGCCTAATTTCACCGTCAGAAAAAAAACAAATTTCAAATCTAATATTGTGCTATTTAAAATTTGAGATCTATATAATACTAACTGACCCGGAATTGGTAACTAACATTATGACACGAGAATTTTATAAATAAGATTTAGTTTACAACATATACTACATATATATGTGGAAATCGTCTGGTACTTACCCGTTGTGGTCATCAGCAGAATAGTCGACAGTACGGACGGTGCCATCAGGCTCAACCAGAGAGTACTGTCCCTTCACGACGTCGCCATCACGCGCTTCCCACTGGCTCTTCTGATCGCCTGTGTGACCGTCGGTGACTCCATAGTTAAATTGGTAGCGGGGGTGGGACTGAAATGTATTGCAAGTTCATATTATGAATATAGGCCCCTTTGTTTTTGTTATCGACGAAGTCGGGTACACTTGTTTGAGATATGGTGCTGGAGGAAGATTATGCAAATTCTTTGGACGAAACACCGGACCAACGTATCAATCCTGGAAGAACTATGCGTCTCCAAAAAATTTTCCACCACTGAACTCCACCAAATTCCACTACTCATTACCGACAGAATGGAAGGAAAGAGGCCAAGGGAGCGCAAGACCATGCTGGTCCGATCAAATTAGTGTCACTATCCTCTACGCAGAAAACAGGAATGAATGGAGGAAGATAATCCGAACAAAAGTGCTCCGCAAAGGTCATGACCCTCAGCTGAGGCAGCACGATGCAAGGACGCTTATGTTATGCGAGTCAGTTCTTTATAATATCCATCTGGCTATTTGCAAAATCTTTAAGAGGTTAAATGTTTAATAGAAAGGAAGATTAATACTTGCTTTTACTTAGCTATTCTTTCTTTCATTTAGCCCACCTAAGTAGGTCAAGTAAAATATTTTAAGAATGTATCAGAATATCATTACTCTTACTGGCGTAACACATGTAACAATATTAATGTATTATGATTTGGTATTTTCTGGTAAGTTCGTAGTAATCATCACAAGTGAATGTCGTTTATACTGCCGATAAACTATTTTAACATATTCTTTGAAATATTATAAAACACTTCATTATTTTGTATAAATCGCTTCTCTTATGATTTGAAACTCCAATTATTGTGCCACGGGGTCTGGATTAAACATCCTGACGCAGTGAGAATCCTTGTGAAAGGAATTTGGTATTAAGGTCTGCACGTACTTTTTTTGTACATGTGTTTTCGATATTCATAACAAAAAGAAGTTATAATTCATTAAATACCGATTACTTTTTTTGTTTTATTGCCCTTTTAGACAGACGAGCGCTCGGCACATCTGATGGTTTCTTTTATTTTTTTATTTTTTTTTTTATGTTTGAGAATTTACTTGTGGCCTGGAAGCCTTTCCAGTTTTACCAGGGCAGGTGGGCGAGCAAATGCTCAGCCAGGAGGGGTGGGATTTGCTAACAGCTACCCGAGCTCCTCCAAAGAAGACCTAACAACCCAAGAGTAGCAGCTGTTTTGCGAAGTAATCTACTACCGGATCGGAATCGCGACCCGCTGAGAAGATCCGGCGAGAAACTCAGCGGGTTGATGCTTAGGTTAGGTTGCACGTCGAACTCTTTGCCGAGTTCGACGAGTACGGTTACCGGAGTGTTAGAGCTAAAGGTGTCTAATGCAAGGGTTATTGGATCTGATGGCGACTGGTTACCGTCGCCTATGCACATCAGCAACGCCAGAGGCATAGCCAAGCGTACCGCTTACTAGTCTCCACAATCCTCTTTTAAAGAGGAATATGTCATGGCAAAAAAGATGTGTGGCGTCGTGGGACACCGGATAGGAACGAAGTTCCTTATTATAAAATATAAATTTTAAGTTCTATTCGAGGTATAAAGAAAATAAAACTGGAGGTTTCACAACAACCCATGGTCATTCAGTAACATGCGAACTTATTGTGGTACACTTCATTCACGGTTGTTTGCATAAGAGTTAGTGTATTGCGCAAACGAACGCTCTAAGATCGTGGTCAATGAATGATAAAACAATATATTATTTTTTGTACGTTATTACAAAGTTAAGTCGTACACTGTGTCCGTTACTAATTTGTACGTTATTACAAAGTTAAGTCGTACACTGTGTGCATTACTAATAAAAATCTTACGTTACGAACGTTTTTTCCCGGTTAGGGTACCCGATCGCATCGTCCCATAAGGAACTTCGTTCCAAAAATAAAATTCTTACATAAATTTCAACAGGGGCGGCTGCGTGCGCCAGCGACGCCAAGGGCGCTCGCAGCACCGGCGCTGCGTGTGCAACGACCGCGCTGTGTCCTGTAAATTATAAATCTTACTCACTTATCTACATCACTTATCTCATACACTATTAATAATAAATTTACTCTCATAAAATTCGTTTTTTTAATTGCTTAGATTGTTCGACAAGCTCACAGCCCACCTGGTTGTTAAGTGGTTACTGGAGCCCATAGACAGCTAGAACGTAAATCCGCCACCCACCTTGAGATATAAGTTCTAAGGCCTCACTATAGTTACAACGACTGCCCCATCCTTCAAACCGAAACGCATTGCTGCTTCACGGCAGAAATAAGCATAGAAATTAACGTATAAAAAATTAGGTAGGTACTTCTTAATGATTTAGAGATAATTTATATTTGTATGTTCCTAGTTGTTTGAAGGGTGGAACAAGTGTACAATAGTAACGAGACTTCGATATTTTTACACAAGGTAGGCATTGTGGTATATTTGAAAACCACTCAATGTCAGGCGGATAGGTATAGGGTCCCATCTACTGCTAGTACTATAGTTGTCTGCTGATGGACTCAGCTACACCGAAGGTTTGTGATAATGTCCAATTGGTCGCAACTCTAGAACTTTTTAATCCTAGCGGCCGTCTGTTCTACGAGCAATTTCCCTGCCCACTATCGTTCCCACCGCACAATCTTTCAGGCTATGTCGGCTATCATGGTTCTCTTACAAAAATCATTCCTAACTCGATCCTGTAGAGAAACTCCGAGCATAGTCTCCAACGACTTTCAAATCTGATGTCTTATTTCGCATAGCAAACAACGACTAATAACGAACAGTTACCCTTTTCATACCTAAGCCGTAACCGTAAGCCGGGGCGGCAATGGCTGGGGCGGCATATCCGTGCGCAATGGCAGGCGTGCCCAGCACAATACTCTGCGATGACACAGCCCCGTGTGGAGCTATCAATCCAGCACGAGCAACTGCGACTAGGACGCACAAAACCACCACCTGAAATTAAAATACCGTTTAATTTGTTCTATTTTTTTTTGTCATCCTTTTATAATCAAATTAAAAGAAAGAAAGAAAGAAAGAAAAAAAGAAATTTGAGTATCGTTATTATTTTGTTCATTTTCAAATTTAACGATTCGAATAAGTAGTCTACACATACACCTTTTCTTACAATTTTCAATGTACAGAAGGGATTGTTAAACTATCTTCTGAGGCTCGAGTAAACCAAATTAGAATAGGAAAATAGTTGATTATATTAAAAATATTAGCCTTCTTGATAATAATTTTATGAATATACATATTATACTAGATAGAGTGAGTGAATAAAAAAAAAGGAAAAACTGGGCTATAAACATTAAGTAGCTTTCGGTGATGAAAATAATATTAACATTGTTATTCTAATTAAATTATTCTAAATTAACGGCCGTCTGGTGTAGTGGTAAGTGACATGGTCACTACACAAGGGGGTCGCGGGTTCGAATCCCGCCAAGGGAAGATATTTGTATGATAAATATAAATGTCTTTTCCAGGGTTATGGATGTATATTAAATATATGTATGTGCATAATAAAAATCTTACATTTATATCCGTTATCTGGTACCTGTAACACAAGTTCTTTACGAACTTATCACGGGACCAGTTAACGTGGCGTGATTGTTAGTAAAATATAAATATATATATATATATATAATATATATAAAAATATAAAAAAATATATATATAAAAATATATATATAATCATAATCATATTATTATGTATTCAACAAATGTGTTTGTCACTTTGTCGGCTTTGATACAAAAAAACGAGCAAAGGATTTAATTCGTTTTTAAAAGAGATAGTTTATACACCACATAGTGACTTAGGCTATGACCCTGGAATTGCTGATGTCCATGGGCGATGGTGATCACTTACCGTAGATTTATGACACGTTGAATTTCAAATTTAATAGTTGAATAAAGGCACGCAACGTTACAAATTAATTCCTTAGCAATTTGCACGCATCTAAGCTAAAAAATTTAGTGATTGTTTTTTGCGCTTTAACTGTCCCATAATTTATAGCACTTTCAATAAATACCACATAATTATGATAAAACTAGCACTGTATACATTGCTGTGTATGAAGATTATTAAGACAGCTCAGCACTCGAAGGACCCTGGCAATAATCCCGTTCAAAAGAACGTTAATCACTGCGTACAGCATTTTTAACACAAAACTTAATAAATTACCTTTCCGAACATTTTCTCAGTGTTTGTGTAAAGTTATAGAACAGTACGTCTCTCTTAGAACTAGGGCTTGTTCTGTGCCTAAATGTGAGATACCTGAGCCTTTTATACAGGTTGCTTTGTCCTATAGATAGCCAGCTAGTCCCTAGTGTGCCGTATGCGAACTAAAATACTATGTCACATATATCTAGTGGGCGTTACCGCAAGTAACATAGACAGCCGGAATATTGTAGATAATCTTGGTTTTTTTTTTTGAACCAAACAATTATAAATGCTAATTAATATTTACATCATAAACCTTAACTGTCATAAGATATTCGTGGTCTTAGATAAATATGGGGTTAATCGTAGACATTTAAATGTTTTTTTAATTACCATCTAAAACCGCAAAGCATGCAAAAGGTTGGACAGAATTCAGTGAAAATACGATTAAGCCGTATGAGTAGTTTTCATAGCGTGTATCGTTAAATCCTAAGAAAATAATTAATCTATAAAATTAATCATTTAGTGTACGCTATAACTTGATATTACCAAATTTTAATATCAATGGTTTTTGCCCTAATGTTTTTAGGATTATACGATGAAAGTTCCGTTTATAATTAGTAAATAATGAATTGAAGTAATAATATGTTTATTAGAAATAACATAAAAAATTAAAGAAAACACAAAAAAAAAAAATACAAGGATATCCACATTAGTCTGATATTTAGTTCAATCGAGAAACTGCATCAGGTGAACATGTAGATATTAACCGCCATATAATTTTATATGCTCTTGACAACATAAATTATTTACATTCAATTTTATGTTACCGGCTAAAGTTAAAACAACAGCAAATTTTATTACCGTATTGTATTTCGAACTGGCGGTTTGAAATAAAATTGTGTCAAGGACTGTAGGGTTTCTTACCGGTTAATTTAGTGGATAAAGCAACTTTCAATAACTCAGATATGTGTAATTATTACCTTTTTATTGTAATAGCTGTCTTGATTTGGACAAAATATAGATTTGTTGAACTGGGTCTCTTGATTTTTGGAATAATGTGCACTTAACATTAATCTTTCGTAATTAAAACTTGAAATTAACGAATTCCGATCAATCTAGTATCGATTTGTTCTTAATTACACAAAAATGGAAATTTATAAAAAAGTTACCATTTATAGAATTCTCCTATGGTAATAAAGTCCCAGGGTCGGGGTCAGTCAACCTGAAGGATCGATAACAGATCCTGGAATTATCTGGAACGTCAATAAACTCAGAAAAAATATTACGAGTTGTATGGGCAACTTGAGGACTGAAGCTTCTGCTAAAAATTAGACAGAGATAGTAACTATAAAGAAATAATCAAATATGAGACTATGACAGCCGTTTGTAAACTATTTGTATATCAGTATCTATGAAATGTGTGTAGACTAATTACAAATTTATATCTACTTTAACAAGCAAGTTATTCAAAAAAGACGATGTGTGGAGTCCACAAAGAGTGGTCCAAAAACAAGATATTCTAACGTCATTAGGAAGCGGTCCATCGGAAGCGGCACATCAATTCGGCATCGTGGACAAGGTTTGCAAATTTGAAGCTAGGCTACTTTCAAAAGATCAGTGTCTCCATGCTTACAAAATTCAATTAACACAACAAATGAAACCTAATGACCATAGACAGCTAGTCCATGGAATGCTGATTTTTGTAGCAAAATCATCTTAAGCGATGAAGCACATTTGCACTTTGATGGCGTTGTTAATCGCGAAAACTGCGGTATTTGGGGCTCGGACAATAACTTTTTTTTTTATTGCTTAGATGGGTGGACGAGCTCACAGCCCACCTGGTGTTAAGTGGTTACTGGAGCCCATAGACATCCACAACGTAAATGCGCCACCCACCTTGAGGTATAAGTTCTAAGGTCTCACGTATAGTTACAACGGCTGTTCCACCCTTCAAACCGAAACGCACTACTGCTTCACGGCAGAAATAGGCAGGGTGGTGGTACCCACCCGCGCGGACTCACAAGAGGTCCTACCACCAGTAAATATATTTCGAAAAACAAATGCACTCAGAACGTGCTACTGTTTGGTGCGAATTTTTGGCTGGAGGCATTATTAGACTAGATGACACTGGTTAAGCAGTAACTGTGGTAGTGAATACCGCTACGTGATAACACAGTTCTTTCTGCCGAAATTCGACACTATTGATGTCGCCAATTTGTAATTTCAACAAGACGGTGTCACATTCCATACAGCTAGTGAAACAATTCAATTTCTGCAAGAGACATTTTCTGGTAATGTAATCTCTCGTTTCGGTGATCAGAATAGAGAGCCTAGATCAGATGATTTAATGAATTCAATCCATAGGTACGTTTGGGACACAATTTGTTATTATAAATACTGTCATTTTTGTACGTATCATCATTCAGCCTCCATATTACCAAAAATAATAACAGTAATCTAAATATAGCATTAATAGAATTCAGTTGGCCATGGAATATAATTATATTTGACCGAAACCAGTGTGAATTCACTTAAGGTGCGACTTCACTATGATTTTTGACTATATCGCAAACAAAATAAGCGACATCCAAGCACATTTTCATTCAACGATTCGAATCGCCGCAGCGCAAATGATCACTAATTAAGGCGTGAACGTCTACCACGTTGTCTCAGATCGCAGATGTCAATTGCCTGCGTGACTCATCTCGTGTCATTAACCTCTGAAGTCTCCGAGCATGCCGCAGTCGAACATCGGACATAGTATTTTGCCATATTATACATGTATATTTGGTAATGTGGCTGGATGGCTTTGTAAATTAGATAATAATATTTTATCGTTATGTAAATTTAATTGCTACTGTACGTTCACGAAATGACTATGAAATAAAAGACAAATCTCTTCTATCGTATTGACATTGAATACAATATTCAAACAGCATAATCATCTAGTTGATAGACCGCATAGCAGTTTTTCTATTACCTCATTTACCGTTAATAAGGTTGTATTTAAGTGTTGTTGTTGTTATTGAAAACTAAATAAACTAAATTCTAGTACCGCTCATGCTTCCTTACGAAATGCTATTATTTCATATGTGGGTGCAGGATTCCACCTACGTAATGTTGTAACAAGATTACTCGAAAGGATAACATTGAGTTGTGCTTTGAACTCGTACATCAATAGAGTACCCATTATTTTGTTACTGTTTGTTAAATCCTTAACATTATAATATTTCGTAAGGGTATATTCTACGCACCAAAACTTTTTTTTGTTCAATAATATTTAAACAAATATGTACTTAACATATATGTAATTTATTGAAACTTTGAATGAACTCCTCTAAGGTATTTCCTGAATACTATTACAATATGTTTCTTCTAACGAGGTTTGCATTATAGTATAAAATTATGCAGAAAACATTGGCATTGCCTTGTCTAGGGGCGGCATTCAAAAATAAGTAATTAATCTGAATATATAATTAACTTATTAAACGTCAAAACAAAATGATATAGTTACGGCCGACACTGACTTTATCCATTTAAACATGACATTCTAATTAGTTCTACTTAATCATTCAATGTGTCTAGTTTTAAAACAAACACGAATCTAGAATTTGTTTTATGTCAATTTTGCCTTAAATACTTTTTTCATAATTTTGTTTTTTTTTTTCAAAATAAATGTATTGGTAAAATTTGTAAAGTTTTACAATAAACGATTTAAACATTCAATTCTTGATCAAAAGTTAAAAGTGCGAGGATGGCTTCCTCGACCTATTTGCTCACACAACCCTCTCAGCCGTCGGTAGTAGCAGTATTTCTTCATATTTTACTTTCTAACTATAATTATTAAATCCCTATTACCTAATTGAAGTACATATTCAGACACATACAGAAAGAAGGCTCTCGTAAGCACGAAGTGATCATGCTGTATATAATTTTTTTTCTGTCTAAGTAGTTATCAGTAGTAGTCAAATCTGCTGGCTTCGCTTACAGCCTAACATCAAATATGGCGCGATCTTATCTACCTATAATAGTAAGGCTAGCTCTTCAAAGAAATATTTTTATTAATTTTGAGTTCGTGAAGTCTAGTTAGGCTTTGCTGCGGTCATTATTAGTACAAAAAATTGAATATTTTTCAGAACAGTTCTATTTAGGAAAACAACTGAAATTTTGTGAAATAAAAGATTAAGGCGTAAGTTAAAGCCTACTCTAATTATTAACACTCTAGTGTATTTGATAAATCAAATTACCAATAAAATGTGATTGATATACAGAATTGCTTCAAGCACGTGGTTCTAGTTAAATTTACATAGTGGTAATAATTAAAAATGACTAATATTTTTTTCTGATTAATTTAAGTGAGGTGCTGAATTGATTTATGACAGCAGTAAAAGCCACTATCTAAAGAACGAAAACGTCATTAATAAAGCTGATTGATAGACATTAACATGAAAATTAACAAGATATAAAAATAAATCAAAATGACGCATTTTCTTTTTATGGCTTTTAAAGCCAGACGAGTCACACGGCAATTTTTTTTTGTGGTACATAAATCAAGTCTATAGTGGTCTACTATAATTATGTTTGAATGAATAAGTTTGAGAAAGAGGATCGAGTTTTTCAATTACAAAAATTAACTTAAAAGGATTAGGGAAACGTGGGCGCGAACAGGGAACTTAATGATATACAAGGAACGCTTAGATAAAAGTTTATTAACTCCTGACATTTCAAAGTAATTTAATTTAGATTTTATATATCAAGATAGTCAGTGGACCTATGTTTCGGAGCTTCTGAGATCCCAAAACTCGCAAAGCAAATGGTTCTTAGGTTCTTAAGTTCTTCAAATGGTTCTTCGAAGGTTTCTTACGGTTTTTAAGTTATTGATGAAGCATAGAGCCTTATAATTAAGACAGACGTAGTGGAAAATAATTCCTGTAATGAAAAATGACTAACAAAAATGCCCACTTTAAACAAAATACTTTTTGTAGTAGTATCTTCTTCGATTTCCACGAGTTGTAGATATAATAAAAATACTTTTACGGTTTAATCTCTCAATTATTAGTTTCTCAATTTATTATTTCTGACGCTTCCAATATCTTACAGATTTCGTGTTCGCGATCATGGA